AAAACAAAACAAAACAATTTTCAAGTGAAAGCAATAGGCTTCCGTAGTCATCCAAGTTGGGACATTTGGTATTTTAATCAAATTTATTAAATTTAACTTAATTTTATTTTTACCCTAATTTGACCTTAAATCATTCAAAACCGGTCACACTACAGGTTTTTACCCTATTACCGGCAGCTTTTCGGTTAATTTGCGTAAAAAACGTTGACGACTACGCAATCTCTATGTCTCTGTCTCCCAGTGAGAAACGTTGTCACCCCGGCAACACAAAGTCTCGGGGGCGTTTCCACCCTAGAGCCACACATTCTAAACCAGACGTCAGTTGCTACGGTTACGGGCGAGCGACTCTACTCCACTCTAGATCTGTGTGCCGTGTGCAGCTGAAGCCCTGTCATGTGACACCAACTTGTCCAGCTCACACTTCCGCTACTGCGTGAAAAAAAAAAAAAAAAAAAAGTTTGGTGAAATCTCGGAGAACTTTTTGGCTTTTGCGGGAACTTTTCCACGCAACGTTACGCTAATATACCTGCGGGTTTATGAGCAGCTTATAAGTCGAACCCGGAGCAGAATATACGTTTATTTACCTGGACACTTTAACCGCTGAGCATGTCGACGAGCGCCCTGTACAACGACCAAGGCGGAGCGGAGGCTGCCGTGGAAGCGGGTCAGGAGAGCACCCCGACCTCCTCCGGCACCGGAGCTGCCTTTGGACTTTTCAGCACCGACTTTAAAAAGTAAGCCAGCTTAGCGTGTGTTCCGCCTGCAGCCAACGCCGGCCATATGCGGCAAAGTAGCACGGTTTGTGGGGGAACTTTTTCTTTTTTTTAAACGTCCAGTGGAAGCGGACCTGTGAGAAAAGAGGGCCAGCAAAGACCCTGCAGCATCAAGCAGCCCGGTGGTGATGGCGACTGGTGGTTAGCTGTCTCTCTGAGGCTTGTTTCGACACCTATCAGATGAGATACAGCCGAGAGAGCAGGGTCAGGCAGCTGGCAGCACACAGTATAAAGTTACAGACAGAAATATACATGTTTTTATCTTGTTTATCTGGAAGCCAAGGAGCTCCAGCGTCCACAGTTGAGAGCTGATTGAGGTTCAACAGGATTCAGTATGTGTGTGTGAAGTGGAAAGTGGAAATATTCCTTTGTATTGTACACATTATGGTGTTGCAAGAGTCAATACTCTGACTAACTGCACTATTTGTTTCATTTTGAAGTGTTTTAAGATGCTAAATTTGTCTCAAAAGCCTGGAAAAGAAGGCTAGTAAGTGATTTATTTAATGTTTGTTGGAGACAAAGAAGGTGTACTGTACACAATAATAAAAACTTCATACATTCATACACAATTTGCAGCAATAAGTAGGCTTTACTTAGTAAGATATAGCGTTAGGAAAGGTCTAACTAGGCCTCTAATCATTGCTCATGAGTGCAGTATGATTGTCAGTATATTTTATGAAACAATATTTTAATTTAATAAGTAATTTTTCTTCCACAAATGGCAGAAAATACTGTTTTTATGTCATATTAAACAGAATATCTTCATAAAAAGTCATTTAAAGACATCACCATGAAGCTATTAATTGATTAATCTAGTATAATAGTGGGGGGAAATCATTGGGAGTGATTTTCATCAGCATAAATGACACCTAGCATCTTTGTACAGTATTAATGATCAGAGGAGATTGAAGGTGTTGAGCAGATGCAGGACAACACAGTAAGATGTCTGTTAATCTACATAATGACACTGAATTTAATTTGTACCCCCCAAAATACAGAAAACAACTGATCAACCAAAACCTTTCTGCACCTTATTTAATTTATTGTTTTGACATTTATCAGTTAAAACCTGGATAAAATGAGCACACGGGCACATATGCAAATGATAATACACATCTCAGCCTGCAGGTGGATGACACACTGACCACCGCACGCCGTATCGTACTGGAGTCAACTGGAGCTGTGCAGACTTTATGGAGCTACAACCCGGTTTCTACTTCTGTCCAGCGGTTTATTTATGCTCAGTATCGTGTGTTATACACAGGGTTTGTTTAGTTTGTGGCTTAATTCTGATTCTTTAGTGCTTAAAACTGCAGATTTGTAAAGCAAATATGTGTTTGTTTGGACCTAGAGATTTGGCCTTCTCACCCATCTGCACTTTTTATGTGAGGCCTGTTTGATTTTATCTGCAAACCACCTGTTTTATATGCTTGGCCAAGTTACTCAGTTATGTGTTTTATTACCAGGCTCAGGTGAGGATGGAAAAGAGTGATCTGTTCTTTTCCTATTCAGAGTTTGAGCTACTGGACTGTGTTAAGACATGAAACCCCTTTGGACCCGAGCTTCAGTTAAAGTCTCTCTCCCTGTGATGCCACATGACGTCACATTGCAGTTAGCTTCTATATGAGCTTCTCAAAACCATGTTTAACTAACCTTTCACTTATAAAACTCGACTGTCAGCATGTTTTGAGTTTCATCTGAGAAACCGGCCACTAGAGGGCAGCCAATCATCAGTGGAACCGTCCTTAGCGGTTGGTAATTTCTTGTAAATGTAATGCTCTCTGACTGGGTTAACAAAGTACACGTCGCACTAGCTCCACAGGTGGAGATTTAAGATGTTTTTTGAGCTCAATTTAGGGTTTTTCTGTGTTCAATCCAACAAGAAATGTTACTAAATGTCCTGAAATGGGTCAGATATCTGTGAGATCTGACCGACACTGCAGCTTCTCATTTTGTTGTAAGTATTCTCCACAGCAGCACTCGGCAGTATCATGCCTGTCATTCTGTTGACTTTTATAGTGTTCTATTGCTTAGTATGCTAACGTGAACCTCCTAAGTGGTCTCACATGACCACCTCACCCCAGCTAGGTCATATGCTTGCCTACCTCTAAAGCCAAGACCAGAACGAGGACACCAGGCCATGAATGATGCTTCTGTCTGCACACGTCTGCCTGACACAATTCACAATGAGCCTGTGCACCCTAAGCTGTGCCACTGCAAGTATCTGTGTCTCACATCAGTGTAGCACACACACTCTGTCCTCCTCAGCGTGTGTGTGTGTTCAATAGTTACGTTATTTGAAGCTGCTGAATATCTGTCACATGTGAAGGACTCAGTTACATTCCTGCGATGTTCTTTCGTCTTCTAGGCGTCTTCCCTGCTGACTGAAAGCTCTATGCCAGGGCATGGAAACATGTGACACGTTATTATCTGTGACTAAAGAGGCATTTCACTGTGGCTGAGTGCTTTTGGTTGTATGGATTTGTTGTGTGAACAGTTTTATTTGAGCTCCATCACAGTTAGGATTTAAGATCTTCTTACTGCTCAGATGAGGGTTGTTAGCTCGGTTTATGTTGGCCTGTGTTTATAATGAGAGAGCAGTCATATTTCAGCCAGGAAGCACTGTTAAAGACTGGTGCTTATAGATTTAACTGGAATTATACTCAAACATGACTGTAATAATGACTGTAAAAGGTTTGACAGTCATTATTACAAGTGGTATCAGTTTTTAAAAACCTTTCTGCAGTATCACAATCCATGAAAATCCCTCTTCTGTGTGTCATTTCTAATAATTTACAGTCTTTTTTCTGACTGCTCACCCGTACTGTCTCAGTGGGCTTCTTGTGTTCGTCTCAAACCTTTCTGTTTGTCAAACTTCTAGAGAGGTGGCTCCAAATATTTTAACAGGCACTTGCATATTTTCCCAGGCTTCCTGGCGTGCTCGATTAAACCACAGCTACACGCGCTTCCCCCCTGTTGTTTCAGATCATTTATGACTTATTCCTTATGCAGTATTTCTCTTCCCATGTCTACCCTTTATGCCTGATTTCTGTGCAGATATATTGTACTTTGACCCCCTTTTTGCCGTAGCTGCTAGCGTTCATTTATCAGCAGTCGCAGAGAATCTGTTTGTTTCCAAGGTGAAGAATGAAGAGTGCTCAATCACAACTTCTAAATCCTACATGGACGAGTAGTCCTTAAAGTCATTTTTTATTTGATTTAATTAAGGATATGTAAACAACGGAAAGCTCCAGAACAGCTGCTAAATGGACCATGTGTTGGCATTTTCTTTGTCAGTTACAGAGAATGACTTTGGAAAGGCGACCAAATTGGAAAGTATTTAGTTTTGTTCCATGATACATCGATTAAAAATGCATCATACAGTGCAACTCCATCCATTCATTTCTAAATGAATGGAGAAATATAGTCAAGTGTTCTATGCCCCCTCATGTTACATAAGAAAGTCAGTTAACCATATTAACCACTTATTCTAGTCCACTGGTATCTCTCAAAGTTATGTAATGTCAGAGCACAAGATCTTGAACAGAGGTCCTTAAATTAGTTGAATAAATCCTGAGCAAACTAAAAATAGTGAATATGAGTTGATCCGATGTGTTATTTTCACTCTGGCACGTGTTTGTTGAGCTCTCTCTTCCCTCTAGCACTTCTCTATAACAATTGAAAGAATGGAAACAGCATTTTACTCAAGAAAAACACATTAAAGATGGAATTTTAGTTTCACTCAAGTCAGAGAGGAATACAGTTGTGGAGAGAGACTTGGTTATAAGATGGAGCCCTCTGCTGCTGTACTGTGAGTAACTGACAGCTACATGGAGGCAATCATCACTGCAGTCCGTCTGTCCTTCATTCTTCTCTTGATAATAAAGAGTTGTGTGTAATTATAATTGACACTAACTTTGCATTACGTTAATGAACACATTTGGGTCTGTAAGCAAAATACAGTTCTTGCAAGAGCTTTATAAGATTAGTTTCAGGTCCCAAAAGTTAAAATACGGAGCTGAATCAGTCAAATGTGTTTTGTATTCGCACATAACAACGGGGCATTGGATGGGATGGATACACGTTTGGTACATTTGTGATAAATGTTCATTAAGATACTGCCATGGGTAAATGATACTGTAATAAATCTGAGCAGAAAAAGCTCATAATAATGAGGCAGGAGTGATGCAGACGTTTGTGATGTGTCGGGACCGGAGAGAGCGATGCTGTACGAGCGACGGCTAACTGGAGCCTCAGTTCAAAGCCTTTCCACTAAAGTGTTTCTGAGTCAGTGATTCAGCAGAAAGTATTATTATAGCTGTCACTGCTGGCGTATATTTGCTGAACATACGGTGGTTCTAATCAATGTTTTGATGTTAACTATGGTAACAGCACTATGGGGCTTCTCTGTTCACTAATTATTTTGTTTTTTCCTGCATGGAACTTTCCTGTTTTGGTTTTCCGTCATCACTCGTACATATAGCGTTGTTTTCAGCCTCTGTAGGCAGCTGTTTTTCCACTAAACACCCATTGTACGCTACCAACCAGCCGACAAACACAGTCAGCATCGAGCTGCTGATCGTAGTGCATTTAGCAGCTAAAGAACCACAGATTTCCCTCATATTGAAACACGTCTTTAAATGAATGCTAATGTTATTTTGTATCTGCTTTACAACTGTTTGCTAACAAGTTCACCATGTCAACTTAACTGCTGATGTTTCGCTGCGGTGTTTCTGTTTCTGCTGCCTCCAAGTGGCTGAATAATCAGTTTGTGCAGGTTTAAACACTACTATTGAATTGTCTACCTGTCATCCAGCTCTGCTTTATTAATGGTTTATTCATGTTTTGGTTAATGAGAAAATAATTAAAGGTTTGAGTTCTGCGATTAAGTCACAAATAGCTAGTTTATAGTTATTCAAGAACCAAAAATCTTTTACAGAAGTGAACTTTGGACCTCAGATATTGTGTGATATATTTATTAGCTTGTGAAAGTGACTGAGTTGTTACTTATATCAGTCATTTTCTCTCAAAGAAAGGGCAGGAAGCTCACTTTCCCCCCTCTAAAATCCTTCTGTAACGTTCACATATTTTAAAGGGTGTTTCCTGACATTCAGCTCAGTACTGTTATCTTTGATGTGGGTCTGTCCTGTTGGCCCCGTCGGCCAAACTTGGCAGGGTATGTGCTCTCATTGGTGTCAAGCTAAAGTGGATTATTGTGCGGTTGAGGTGATGAAAAGTAGTGCAGTGTTTACCCACCAGTGTAGATAAGGCCCTCCTTTTTCCCCTAGAGGGAAGTGACCACAGTCACACAGAGACAGTCACATACACAGCTGCACTGCAGGTGAGAGAGAGCCTAGTTTCCAGAGGAAAACCTACATGTATAGAAAGAGAGAAGTAACAACTGAACAAGAGGCGACCACAGCTGACCGGCAGGTAGTTTGAGAAGGAATGTGGACTACGGAAGAAGGAGAGAGCTCTTACCCGAGTGAGCAGGCACTACTACCCTCAAGCATGAGTATGACTTGCCATTAGCGAGCTGACGGGGCATCTTGTGACTTTTTTTTTTTTGCCCTAAAAGAAGAGGAAGGGAGTAGTGAATGACAGGCACAAAGCCAGAGGAGCCTGTGCTGTTTTTCCACTCTTCCCAGCTTTGACAGTTATGAACAGGAACGAGACGAGAAGACAAGCGTAAATAAAGCCAGGGAACACAGCCTGAAGGAAAGTAATTACCACAGCTGTTTCACTCTTGAGTTACTTGAAATACAGTCAGTTGTGGACTCTTTCATTCTTTAGACAGCTAACACACACACACACACACACAACACACAAAACAAGTGGACTCAAGTGCTTTTTGGACTGCTGTTGGGGGGGAAAGCCGGTATGGATGTTGGTTTATCTTCTTTGCGCTCGGAGGCAGTGGGAGCCATGAGGACAGCGATGGTGTCTGCTGAGAACTTACAGCTCACTCTGAAGCCTGAGCTCAGTCAGGAAGAACAGGCCCTCACACACACCAGTAGTAGCCCCAAGGATGCACACAAAGCCGGGTACTGTAGTAAGATCACCCACAGCACTCTGACGGAGACTTACCGTAAACTTTTTTTTATACGTTTTCTACTTCTTTGACGTAAGTTTTAGCTCAGGTTGTTGTTTGCTCATAATGTTGGTCAGCTGGAAGTTTTCATTTCAACTTTTAAAAAGTGAAAGCCATGTCTCTTCAGTGACTGTTGCTTAAAATATGGAGACACTTGGATATAAGAAACTTTACAATCATGTTATGAAATAAGGTTTGTTGTACTGCAGTTTCATTTTACATGAATTAAGATTATTATACCTCAAAAAATACAATCCAGGAAAAATGCAGTACATGTATTACTTAAAATGATGGCTTATGATTGATTTTGAATGATATTATTTAGTCACTTAGACCAGTGATTAAACTAATGCTAAAATGCTAATGGCAATATCATTTCAGTTGAGTTATTTTACACCACAAATGCCCATACCAACTTTAACAGCTCATCCAGCAGTTGTTGAGCCTCACAGCTAGCATGGCTCAAATACATTTATCCATTTAATTCTCAGAAACTTAACATGACTTCTCCTACTGTGTGTCCTCTCTGTGTGGAACAAACAACCTGTGTAGTCGTACAACGTCAGTGTGTGTTAGCATTCGCAAAGGAATGAGCATTGTCATATCATGTGAGTGCCGGGCCATTTTAGCAGAAATTGGTGTGATGCTGCTGTTGCATTGGTGCAGATAACGCTCTTGTTACTTGGTCGGGTGCATTGTCAGGCTCCTGTAGACCAAACAGTGTTCAGCACAGAACTGTTTGGTCTTTAGAAGCTTATAGAAGAAGTGTGTGACCCTTGCATGTGTACCCTGTAATCTGTGAAGCTGACACAGATGTTGTACACACAGAGCTTTCCCAGTACCTTTGGTCAAGCTCTTAACACTTGAAACTGATTTGTGAAAGTCTCAGCAGCACTCACTATGTCTTCTCTAATGTTGACCGTGATAAGTATTAGTAACAGCATCAGAAATTCCTCTGATACGGCCTAAAATACGGTTTCTTTTACGCACGCATATCGGATCGGTGCTCGGTATTGCCTGATACGCAAGGCTCAGCTATTAGAATCGGTATCGAGAATGGATATCGGGTATCGGACATCTCTATTAACAGTATTTTCTGTCCCCAGGAATGAAGACCTTAAAGAGATGTTGGAGAGCAACAAGGAGTCGCTTAAACTGGAGGCCATGAAAAGGATCGTTGGGGTTAGTGCATCTTTGGATCTCATATTGTGTGTGTGTGTGTGTCTTCTCTCAGCTGTTGAGTTTAATACAAGCGATACAATTAGTGGATAAAAGTGTTTTATTGTTTTTGTTTTCAGCTGATTGCCAAAGGGAAAAATTCCTCAGAGCTGTTTCCTGCCGTGGTGAAGAACGTTGCGAGCAAGAACATCGAGGTATGACATTATTAAGAAATGCATCTCAGAAAAAAACACCATCATCTTTACAAAAGTCGGTCGTCATGATTCATTTAATTCTCGTGTGACACAGCACGTGGGCACTCGAGACGTTACAGAGGGAACTTCCTCATACAGAACAATAGGCTCATGTGGATTGGCTTCATTTGAAAGCTTTTACTTCATTTAGTTTGTGTTTATTTGTCTGATTTATTGTTTTTTCTCTGAATGTTTTTTTTTTTTTGGACAAAGTAAAACAGACAAACTAGAAAGAAATCACACAAGAGTGATGATATTAAATAAATAGATTAAAAAATAGATATATATATGAGGTAAGAAAAAAGTCTTTACAGACACAAATGAGGAACTAATCATACACTTAAATCTCTGCACCAGTAATATAAGAGGTACCCAAATACTAGCATGAAAAGAAAAGTACAAGTACTTAAATAAATGTACCACTGCTCAGTTTGGCTTCTGTTACAGTTCGCTGAGGCCTCTTTGGTGTATAATTGTATTATAAATTCTGTGGAGGATTTCAAAATTTGCAGAGCTTTAATTTTGTATTTATAACAAGTCGGTTAAACCAATGTTCCTTTTGAAATCAAAGATATGTCTTCCCTTTTTGGCATTTTCCCCTTTCATTAGACATTTGAAAGTGAAGAAGCAGACAGGAAACAAGGACAGAGGGAGAGAGGGAGAGAGAGAGACCTATGACACAAAATAATGGCTGCCGTCTGGAATCAGACCAGAGACGTGACAATCACGGGGCTCCGTTCCATTTTTCTTTAACTTTTTATTTCTCGTTAGAAGATTATAAGTTATTAAAACTATCCTGTAACTCTAGCTGTGATAATGTCAGCTCTACAGATCTACCTGTCACTATCAATTTAAGGCAATAAAAGCCTCCAATATTAAAAAGTTTATCCCTCTTATCAATAAATAGTAGAAAAACTAGTTTTATTACTACATAAATTTGTGCATCACCACTAAATCATGTACAGAGTGAGCCATGTGCACGGACTATTCCAGTGAATGAGCGAACAGTAGGCAACAGCTCAAGAGGGGTTCCCATGCTCAGAGCCTGTGAATATTGATTAGCAGCAGCAGAATAATCAGGTAGCGTGAGGGGCGGCATGTGAGTGGGGGGCCTGAAGCCGGGCGCTGTGTGCAAGGCATGCAGCCGAAGCAGCTCGTGGCAGGGTAGGGGAGCAGGTGGGTGAATGTAATTGGCAGTAGAGAGCCCACAGTCACGTCTCCTGTCTCCCACCTCATATACACCAGCTGCTAAGGTAGCGCAAGCTTCTCTCTCTCTCTCTCATTTCCTTTCCCTAGCTCTTCCACACTTTACTCACCTACAGTATGTCTCGCTAAATAAAAAAATGGCGTCCTCTCTCGTCCCCGCCCTCATCCGTTCTCTCCTCGTCATTGCGAGCTGCCATTGATCCCCACCAATTAGAAAACGGCACAAGAGCATGCAGGTTATTGACAGCGTTGCGTGATTTCATATCATCGCACTTTATTTTCTTTAATCATTGCTGCACTTCATTTTAACACCACATATCGTACATGAACAAGTGTATTTGCATGGTTTTGGTGTAGTTGTGTTTGCTTTTGAGTACAAGTGACAGGAATAGAAAATATAAAAAAAAAAACAATTTGATGCTGAGTCCTTAACTGCCTATTTAGCTGTTCAAAATGGAACCAGTTGTGTGCTTTGTGGTCATAGAAACCAGATCCTTGAGGGCAGATGGGTTGTGTCTCCTTTTATAGTGAGTAATGCCATTAATTCCAGCAGTAATGACCAGAACGATGATTGAGAACTGTGGTGCACTGCTGCAGGTCGATACTCGCTGCATTAGAAAGCATGGTGCTGATTACTAATTAAGCTCTTGGCGATTGTACCTAAAATGTAACCTTACCCCTGACCTCGACCTTAAATCAGTTCTTAAATGAAATTATAAATAGTTTCTGAAGTAAATCATCATTTTTCATAACCACTTTTTATTCCAGTTCCATTATTTATGAATGTGCAGCCTCATAGGCAGAAATCAGCTCTGACAATTCCTCTTTTTTTTTCTGAATAGCTGATGTGAATCAGCAGAGCAGAGAGCAACCTTTGGCCTCCACTTAAACTTGTCAGACAGCAGGACAAATATTATCTCAGGCTTTCCTGCGAGAAAAGAAGAAGCGAGGAAGCCAAAACACAAGAGGGGGGGTGGGGGGCGGCGGCGGCGGCAAATAATTCAATGGCAATTTCTGAAAGGAACAAAAATACATAACCTCGTTCTCTGCCTGAAACAACACTGAATCGAGTCTGCAGCTCGTGATATCAAGACAGGAAAACTTTCTATATCAACTTTTATTTTCACCCCTTGAAATAATAAACTCTGAAAAAGCTAAGCTATGAGTCTGACTCTCCCAGTTGTTTCATTCATTATTGTTCATGTTATGGCTTTTGTAGCTGCAGTCTTTTAGGTTTTATTAGATGTAAAAACATGCAGCACGTCCTTTCACATAAGTTTTACAACGCAGCTGGTTTCCTAGATTGTTTCCCCCTTGTGCTGCGTTAATTTCCCTTTACAGCTGTTTCAATTTATTGCTGTTTGATTTTAATTGTCCTCTGCAGCTTAAGAAGCTTGTATATGTCTACCTGGTGAGGTATGCAGAGGAGCAGCAGGACCTGGCTTTGCTATCTATAAGCACCTTCCAGCGGGCCCTCAAGGTAACATTTCTACTTCTTGTCTTTCTCTCTTTATTACCACTACCATGGTGAAAAGTTATAATATTTTAGTGTATCTTATAGGCAAGTATTCAAGTGTCTTCTTATACATATTTCTGGAGGCTGCTGTCATTTCTTGCCTTTTCTCTTCATTGCTCGGACATTAATTGTGTTTTTTGTGTTATATATGACATTAATGTTGTCATAGTATATAATCTCTACTAGGAAAGGTGCATATTGTCTGTTGAATGCTTTGGAAGCAGTAACAGTAGTAGAAAACATTCATTTACACACTGAAATTAAGGTTGTTTTCTGTATCTCTGTGACAGGACCCAAACCAGTTCATCCGGGCCAGCGCATTGAGGGTTTTGTCCAGTATCCGGGTGCCTATAATTGTCCCCATCATGATGCTGGCCATCAAGGAAGCGGCAGCTGACCTCTCCCCATATGTCAGGAAGACATCGGCCCATGCTATCCAGAAGCTCTACAGGTACAGTTCTGTGGGGCTGATGTTGTTTCTGCTTTTGGTTAAATACGAGGAAGCTACACAAGCTGCATATCACCGGGTAAAGCCAGTAGCTACCAGCTGCACTCGTTAGCGTGACTGGCTCTCCTCACTGCCTCATTTCTGAGCAATGAACTGAGCAGTTGATACAATAAATGTTGGGTAATGTTGATTTAAGGGGTTTTGCCCTGCAGCTTTCTCGCTCTTATCAGCTGAGTCTTTCTAAAACTGGCATGGATCAGAGAATGAATCAGTGCCTCAAATCTGAGCAGAGTAGTAAAACTCAACCAGAATCAGTTATAACCAAATATATGCTTTATATAATGGCCTAAAAATCCCCATAATGGAGCAAAAAAGTAGGCTCCATGGTAGGGCTTGCTACTAATGATAATTATGATAATTCTCTCGATTAAATGGTTGTTTAGTCCATAAAATGACAGAAAATGGTGAATACTGCTCAAATGTCGTTCACAACCCAAAGATATTCAGTTTAATGTCATAGAGGATGCAAAGAAACCAGAAAATATTCACATTTGAGGAGCTGAAATCAGAGAATTTGGATGTTCTTTTCTTTAAAAAATGACTCAAAAGGATTAATTGATGAACTAAATGGTTGGAGAATAATTAAACTGTTGACAACTGATTGATTTATCGACTAATCATTGCAGCTCTACAGCACATTATTCTCTCGATTAACTGCTTTGTCTATAAAATGTCAGGACGTAGTGAAAGGTGCTCGCTGTAATTTCCTCAAAGCTCCAGATGAGGTAGTTGTTTGTTTTTATTCAACAAACAGTAGCAACCCTAAATTCAGTTCACAGTTAGATATGACAGAAAATAAGCAAAAGAAATCAATTATAAAATGAGTTGCAGATTAATTTCCTGACGATTGACTAATCAATTAGTCGACTTGCAGGTGTAGACTTTAATCTGCTAACACTCCCACAATGCTATGCATTCACAAGTGTCTGAAATCTCAATTTATTGCTCACTATAGAGTGTTTTTATATAAGGAGCAGTGAATGGGACTGATTTGGTTGCAGTCTAGATCAGAAAATAAAACCTGATCATTAGACAGTTGTCCTGAACCACTGTAAACACACAGGCACTCCGTATTCTGAGCACACAGAGGGGACATAATTTAATTTGTAAGTCCATCAAGTTTTCATGTTATGTGAATAATTGCCATTCCTTAGTTGACAGTTTCTCTCTCTCTCTCTACTGTCTTCAGTCTGGATCCAGACCAGAAAGAGCAGCTGATCGAAGTGATAGAGAAACTATTGAAAGACAAAAGCACAGTAAGTACAGACCGAGCGGTGAGTGCCATACAGTACACCTCCCATGTCGAAGACCACTGGAGGGCGCCCCAGTCAAGCGATTCTTCTCTTAGCTCTCCATCCCACAGCTCATTCGGCAATGCCATGGTTTGTTAACACCCACTTAAACCCACACATCTTCAGATGCTCCTTGTTAAGTGTCCATTTGGAAGGAATTTTCGAACTGATGCTAGTGTCAGCTTAATTTTCTCAAAGGCCAACTTCTTTTTCTTTTTTTCCAAAATGGACCATAAACGAGTTGGATTCTTAAATCCTGTGTTTAGGCCACTCACAGACACAATGCAGGCAGCCCATTAGAAGTCAGTAGGCAGCACATTAATTTGAGGAGGTCACAGTGAATACTAAGGGTGTTTAAATGCCAATTTCAAATATGTAGACGTTGGCTACAGAATGCAGAGTATGTTGTGTTTGTACGTGCGAGTCATGCACAGTTTGTTGTAATTATGTATTCATAGCGTATACCTATCGTTATACAAACAAAACAAAGCAGCTCAGGCCAAGGGGGGGATGGAAAGCCCAGTACCAGATGCATAGCATATTTAGCCCCAGACGCTAACGAAGACAGATGACTTCTCCCCGTTGGAGCCCACATTGTGAGGCAGGGGGACAGAGAGAGAGGGCACTATCATCACACAGACGCACAAGCACCATCAGTCGGTGATGAATGGTGAAAAACATAGAGGATACTTAATAGCTATCAAGCGATGCATTTTTATGATGGCAAGGGGATACCATGTACCGTTTTAGTCGCACATTAAGTCCCACAGCGATGGCCAGTCATCTTGACATTTTATTTATTTCTGTATATGCTGGCGTAACGCTATGTAAGGATGTCCTGGAGTTGAGTCAGCTGGGGAGAAGGGTGAACAAGTAGCTTAGCATAAAGGGGAACTTCACAGATTTCACACATCTACAGTCATGAGCGGTGCTGCACTGCCTGTGAAAGCAGTTTTATTTATTTAGTCTTCAGTAGCTCTGCAAGGGTTTTGTCAAGACCCTTGACGGTTTCACGAGTGCTATTTCAGCTCAGGCGTACACGGAAAGAAAGCCGCGTGAAGGGTCAAGTTTGAAAGATGTGGGCATTTACCAGGCAAGGATGAAAAGATGTAAAATATTCACATTAGAGGAGCTGAAACCAGTGAGGTTTTTTTCCATCTTTGTGTAAAAAAATTACAAATCAATCAAGTATCAAAAGTGTTTACAATTAATTTTCTTTTACTCAACTAATAATGAGTTGAATAATCCTTCCAGCTCATGTTTGAAACAACTGCACATTACTGAAGTTCTTTTCCAAAGTTAAGTTAAAATAAGCTCCTGTTAATTGACATTGCGAGTAGATAGTGTCTTCTATTCCATTATCTATACAGCTCATTCTCTTAGGGGGTTCACAGGGGGCTGGATCCCAGCATGCGTTGGTGCGGGAGGTCATTTATTCACACTCACGCCTACTGGCAAATTAGTGGTTTCAGTCTACCTCAGCAGACATTTTGACATGTCATAGAAGGAAAAGCACAGGTGAAACTAATTGCGTTAATGATTGCTCAGTTCCATCAAGTGTCATTGTCGTCGTCGTCGTCGTATAGTAGAGCATCAGTAGCTCTGGATCTGAATCACCTGAATGTTACTCAGCTGTTATGAATGTTATTTATTACACCTGCACTCATGTCAAAATATATGCCCATAAAAAGCTTCTAGACCATTGTTTTACCATATCTGATGTTAATTAATCAATTTCACCACAGATAAGTGAATTAATTTATGTGAGTGCTATTTAGCTGATGTCACCTTCCTGCCTGTAGAAGAAGGAAACATTTGGTTATTGTTCCAGGCTGTGGCAGTGTCCAGGCCTCCTGACATTTACCTTTACAGATGTGCCTGTTTGGTTAAATGACTGTGACACACGGGGGGGGCCTGCTTATAGGCAAGATGGTTTAAAGAGAAAATGGGAAGGCCTGATGACAGAGACAACATAGGAGTTTGTGCAGCTGTTTTACCGTGATGGATCTATTATCCAGCCATTACAAGATAAATGATCGATCCCTCCCATCCTCCCTCCCCCGTGCACCTTCTGCAAAATTGAAATGAGAACAGAAACGAGGGGCGGATGGAGGGAGGGAGTGGGGGGGGTACTATGATTAGGGGCTAGGTGAGATGCCCATTAATTTAAGAGAAAAAGGAGGGAGGAGGAAGAGAGCAGGAGAGGAGCGAGCGAAGGGAGGATAGGCCGACCCCACACCGGGCCATCAATCAAAAAGGCGCACGTTGTCTCTGGCGTGATGACCCAGCACTCTCTGCCTCTCTGGCACCCTAATTAGAATTCATAGCAAAATAGATGCAAGGAAACGGTTTGGGCCCTTCATAATTTTATAGGAAATTTATTGTTATTAGAAGAACCATTTGCTTAGTGTGATTTTTCCATTACCGGCTTGTCACGCAGGGTAGATAATATGGTCGAGGAGGGGGAGGAGGTGTATGAACTCCATAGATTGGGGTGTCAGTTTTGTTGATGGTGCATGTAGTTTACCTTGGAGCTGTGTCTAATGGGGGAAGTTGGTAGAGAATGCACAAAGCCATGCAGCGGGAACCACATGCTCAGAAACAGTGTTGTCTGTAATAGCCTCAGAGACGGGAGAGGCCGAGGGAGGGCACCCGGGGAGAGGGATGCAAAAATACACCGCTACATGCTGAAAGTATATATTCTAATTGACTGCTTTTGAGTAGGTTTATCTAAAATACGTTGGCTGAGATATTCACCGAAAAGCTACGGTGAAGGTTCTTTAACATGGATACATACAAGCCTGTATTACACAGATTTAATGATCAGATAACAGTGTTTTTTGACTTGATAGCGGTTGAAGCTCAGGTGTAACTAATATTTTTTTATTAATGGTGGATCGGTAACATTGGGATGTTCCAGTTAGTTAGTATGCACAACACCATGGCCCTGAAGCTGTCACACTTAACTGGAACGTAGCCAATGTTATTCACGTCAAAATGTCTGCTGTTTTGAGTAATTTGGCTGATTTTCTTATATACAGTATGTGTTTTTAGACAAAACAATTGAATACAGTGTCACTAACTCAAATAAAGTAAATTTGCTCTGTAAATTGATCATATACAAATATAAATGGAAGAAACTTTAAGTCCACATTATGCTTTTGATTACATATGGGGTTGCTTATAGCACACTTAAACAAATATAAAAAAACAAACAAGTTTTTGTGTTTGAGTTGGTTTCTCTCATTAATCCACATATTTACAGAAACTGTATAGAGTTTATTTTCCAAAGATAGATAACACTATTTTCTCCCTAAAAACATTATTTATCCTACTGGAGCTAATTCAAGTAGATAAAGAAGACTCATTAGACACAACTTTACTATATTGTTTGTACTCATCATGACATATACTATAAGTCATCACAGAAATGCTACTGATGTATGCAGAGACATGCAAGTGTACATAACTCCCAATCTTTATTTAGGTTATATAAATTGTGAAAACCAAATATAGTTACCGGTACTTTATATTCCTAATAGCTGTCAAGATATCTTGGCTGTCAATAGATACACATTCAGTTACCAGTTTATTAGGTATAGCTAGCTAAAACTAATGCAGTCTAATACAGCAGCCCTGTCCTCCCTTCTTGTATTGTCTTACTTAACCTTTATTTAACCAGGTAAGACATTAAGAACAAATTCTTATTTACTGTGGCGGCTTGGCAGAAGTCAAAGCCTCTTGAGGGAAGGGAGTAGGGACTAAAAAAGAAAGGAAAAACAAGACGAATTGCAATTAAAAGGATGTATTTTGTGGTGCTTCTGAACTGTGTTGCGTTTATATAAAGAGGTGTTTCTTGTGTATTTAACCTCATTGGGATAAATTGAGTGTGCGAAATGATAAAAATGCAATAACAATTCAACAGCACCACAAACTGCAGCTTCCAGAATGATCATACAGTTGAATTGGCACCTCTCTGAAACAGTTTCACCAAAAATTGAACATTATAACCCCCATGAAGGGAGGATTATTGCAGCACTGTTGCATTAGACTGCATTAGTTTTTAGCTAGGAGCACCTAATAAACTGGCATTTGAGTGTCTATAATGTATGATTACATGTATTTTCTCAGACTGTTGTCAGTGTGCTGGCTTTATTACTAGCTGGATCTGTTTGCAAGTGTCATTGCTTGAATATATATATAGAATTTTTTTGCGGGTCACTCAATGAATATCACTTCATACATCAGTGTGATACCATAAAACGTAGTTGTTTGATCCCTCTAGTAATCTATTCATCAGTATTAGTGTGTGAATGTCAGAAAAGCGAATCATCACTCGGATTTAAGGTCCAGATTTCTCAGACAATCTGCAGACAGCAGCCGTGCACATACACATTTCACTCATACACACACATGCACACACAATCAATGCAGGCTCATGACAATGCTGATGGGTAAATGCACTGGTTTCCCACAGGGCCACCAGGGGCCAGAAGGCTTTAATTGGGAAGACCAGATTCTGCTCCCTTTCTCTTCTTCTTCACCCTCGCCTGCCCATGATAATGCTGTTTGCATATTAATACACCGTCATGTCACTCACTCAGTCTCACAGTCAGTCAGCGAGCCAGCAGGCAGTTGGGAGGCGGGGGGGCATGCAACAGCCAAATGGGTTTTTTCCTTCTACCAATAAAACACGGTTGATTATTGGCTCCCTCAGCTGCTGCTTCCTCCTTGTCCTCCTCTCCTCGTGAATTGAACATAAAATGAGTTTTGTACCTGAGAAAAAATATAATTTATGGGGGAAAAATATTAGAAATGCTCTCATTGATGGATTTCTTTCACAGGGTTGTATAAAATTAGTCAGTTAAAACTTAAAGCACAAACATTTTCCATGCTAATTATCAACTAACTACTTAGAGGCTGAACTGTGTATTGTAATCAAAGTGGTAAATTGGTATTGTTTTTTTAAGTGCAATAATAGCACTTTTTTTTTTTTTTCAAACCTGGGTCATATCTGTTAATCAGTCTTTTATTTCTCTAGAGTCTGTATATTATGGCTTTTTTAAGAGATGAAGTGTTTGTTCATTTTGTCAAACTAAACTGCTGCATATCCTTAAAACTTCCATTAACTCAAGTGTTAGCACTGCAGAGAAAGAAATAAAACGCATCAACATTTCCCTCTTGAGTTGGTTTCTGCTTCGTTCTGTTTTCTGCAGCTGGTGGCCGGCAGTGTGGTGATGGCTTTTGAGGAAGTGTGTCCAGATCGCATTGACCTGATCCATAAGAACTACAGAAAGCTGTGTAACCTGTTGGTGGATGTGGAGGAGTGGGGGCAGGTGGTCATCATCTCCATGCTGACGCGCTATGCCAGGACGCAGTTCACCAGCCCCTGGACGGAGGTGAGGCACTCGTCGCCTTAAGGACTAAAACCAATGGGGATCCAGATCCACAAAGTGGACTTTGTAATCATTTTTGGTAGTAAACGGGCTGTCCAGACATGGCAGCAAATCCTAGTCATGCTAACTACCAACACAGCAAACATGACATCCTTTTACAGTAAAACTCTTATCTCCTCTGTCAGTGCAACTATCTGATTTAAAAAAAATGAAACTACATGTTTGTGACCCATTTTTCAAGTTTACATTGTCAACAGGAACCAGTGGGCAGGTTGAAAGTCACAAACAGACGGAAGTCGAAAAGTATTTGCATTGTTGGCTCTGGTCCTTTCATGGTAACATTGACAAATTTAATTTAAAACATCATTCTGATCCTTTAAAAATATATGTCTTAAAATGTCTAAATTAAAATCCAGAATGAGACACTTTATATTGATAATTTAGGGATTTAAATTGTAATACGAGTTAAACTCCTGCGTTTAGAATTACAGTCTTTGTGTTTTTTAATTAGTTTTATATGTTGGTGCTATTTCACAATATTGGATTTCTGTACAAAATTTGTTTCTGGGGAAATGTGTCATAGCTCTTCTATACAAGAGAAGTTAAGTTAGAGTAATAGGTTCTTGAGACAGTGAAAAACATTGTTTCTATAATTAAAATCCTGCCAATATAAAATGTAAATACCACTCAATTTGCTCAATTCACTTGTCCAATAATCCTGTAACTCAAGTAAAAAAGTAAATGACACAATAATTGCATTTTTAGTCCAATATTTGTGTTTGGGGGAGATAGTGTAATGCATTAGTGTGATGTTTTGTGTTTTCAGGGCGCCACGTTTGATGAGAACAATGAGAAGACGTTCTATGATTCTGATTCTGAGGAGAAAAAAGAGGAGACGGAGGCCAAACCCTACATCATGGATCCAGACCACAGACTGCTGCTCAGGAACACCAAACCTCTTCTGCAGAGCAGGAACACCGCTGTGAGTTAGCTGGACACTCAAACACAGACATATACAGCTATATTCAATTCTTAAGGATAACTTTTTCACCTGTTGAAAGGTATAAATATTGATCAGTCCAGCCTCTGCTCGTATCTCGCCACTGTTTTAGAAATAAAAAGCTACACATGAACTAGTGCTGCTGCCTTAGTAGGGACGTTCACACACTTTCAAATTCACTCCCCAGCTGTAATACATCTAAAAACACACACAGCACAAAGATGTGAGCATAAACACACATACCTGTCATAGTGCACCCCTGATGAAAAAAAAAAAAAAAGATAAAAAACATAGTGAGTGCATATCTCCATCACCCAGGAGCCTCAAGGTCTCTGTCGCTGTGTAGCAGCGGGAGGAAAAATGCTCCCAAATGAAAGTGTTGATTAAAATGTGACATGCTGTGTCTTTTACTCGCAACAACACGGTGACATCCTCCATCTTCATTGATGCCTGAAACCCTTTCATTCTGCCTGCAACGATGGACACACGTCCGCCTGCTATTTAAAGCTCTGCTGAAAAATTACCTTTATACAGTCATGTCATGAGGGCCTTTGAAGCCCTAAGAGATGCATGTGAAGGAATTTAATTTTAGCTCGGGTAGACAGATGGTAAAGTAATTTAGTGTAGGCGGTGTAGTAATAATAATATTATTAATA